TTCCGCTCCGTCTTCTAGTCCACGGGAGCACCAAGGGCCTGATTAATAGCTTCACTGTACTAATTCCCCGTGGAATCATTAAACACAGTATCTGTTTCATTAAACAGATCCAGGACAATTCACCTTGTGTAATCACACCACATAAAATTTTGCTTTGGACTCCCTCCAGGGAGATTGTAAAATTAACATGATGGAACCCAAAGGAGGGCTTGTAGGAGCCTCGGCTGGGCTGTAACTGGGAGGGGGAAGAGGGCTAGGTGGGGTGAACATGCTCAAAGGTTGGCTGACCTCTGCTCCTATGGGGTGAGCCTCACAGTCTGCATTAAGGGCACCCTCAAGGAGCCATTCTCAAAGTTTAAACTGACCACGAAGCCCCTGGAGGGAATCTTGCTAAAATTCTGACCCAGTGAGCCTGGGGCTGGGCCAGAGAGTTGCTTGTCTAAAAATCTACCAGGTGAGGTCAGTGCCGCTTTCCCAAGGCCACACTTGGAGTAGCAAGGGTTTAAAGGAGCAGTTCTTTTTTCCCCCTAATTCCCAGAGGGCATGTGCATTACCAGAGAGAGACAGGAAGCAGTCCCCAATGGAGCACATTCACACTACGGTCCCTTTTCCTCCATTTCTCCGTCAAGTCTGGATCTTGGGCACACGTGCACGTGCCCCTGGCGTGTTTCTCAAGCTGCTAGGGCTGGGATTCGAACCAATCAGCCATGTGGGATCTGGCTCCTTATGCACAGTGCTCAGCCTTTGTGCTTACAGGGCCAGCCCAAAGCAGTGGTTCTTAAACTGGAGTGTGTATAGTTAAAACATGGATTGCAGGGGATACCCCCGCCCCCTGCAAATACATGATTCGACAGGTCTTGGGGGGAGTCTAAGAACACACATTTCTAACAAGCTCCCAAGTGATGCTGAAGCCTGTTTCAGGGACCCTAAAGCAGGGATTTCAAACACAAGTGCCTTCAGGGGCGGGAAGTGAATGCAATGAGAGGAAGGGGCTGGGTGGAGACTGGGGTTTCTGTTCTTTGGGGAAGGCTCTGCCAGGACCCTTAAACACCAGAACTAGGCACGGAAGGGGGCGCCAGAAGACCCCTCCCCTTATTCCAGATTAATGGGGGACTCCAGGCTCCCACCATGAGATGAGTGTGGAGGTGCCCCCATACCTCCTGCAACCTTCAACTGGCCTCTCCAACTGCCCTTGTACTGGTGTTAGAGCTCCCTGCTGTCTTGAGGAAGGAAAAAGAAGCAAAGCAACCCCTGGGAACCAGAGGGGATACCCACGAGAGGAAAACCTCTGAACTTGCCAGAGGTCAGTGACATCTTGGGGTGCAGGTGGAGCCTAGTGGTTAGTGCCTGGCTTTGCATCCCAGCTCAGCGGACTCCTGAGGCCCTAGCTAAGCAACTTGCTCCTTCCTGGGACAGTTTCTTGCCTGTAAGAGGGCCGAGTGATTTCAGCAGCCTTTCTTACCTCCTGGGTTCCCATAGGGTATAAATGGGATGACAAATGCCAAGTACCCATCTGAGCTTCCGGAGCAAGTCCCCTCCCTTTCCACTTGGGGTCAGCGAGGTGGAGAGCTGGGTTTTAGGGCCAGTCCTGCCACCATGCGCCCGAGTGAACAGGGTGGTCCCTGCCTCTCTGGGCCTCAGCTTCCTCACTGGTAAACAGGGAGTCAGCGGCTCTTGGGCCCATCTGCACACTGGAAGCAGCTGGGAGCTTTAGCAAGTGCCAATGTCTGGGTCCCCCCCCCCAGTAATGGCCCAGGACATGGTCTTTCCCACCCTTCTCGGGGGACACGATGGGCAGCCAGGGCTCAGAAGCACTGGGTCTGGGGATCTCCCAGGTCCTCCCAGTTCTGACAAGCAGAATCTGTACTCCCAGGGCGGTCTCCTGCTGTGTGCCCCACAGACATCTCAGCTTGGCTCTGACCAGGGCTTGCTGTCAACTGCCCTATAAATAAATAATTCGGAGGTCTTGACTCCTGGGAATCAGTGAGCAAAGGTCAACATCTGTCTGCGATTCTATTCCCTTGCCGAGAGGAGAGAAGAGGCGGGGGAGGGACAGGCTCCCTTGAGTGAACTGGGAACCTAGGGACGGGGTTGGTCAGGCCCACGGGTTTTCATGAGTGTAGTCAACGTGGAGAGTGTGATGGGTGAATTGCGGGGTTTACTTCCTGTCGTACTCTGATCTTGGGGGTTTAGGGAGCTGGAACTTTGGAGCAGCCTGGTTCTCTAAGGCTGGATGAGGGCTGGAACTCATACTCCCAGAGCACCTACTGGGTGCCTGGATTGGGTGATTCACATCCAGCCATAGCACACCTAACCCATGACCTAGTACAGTGCTCAAGGGCGTGGATGCAGGAGGAAGACTCTCCAGGTTCAAATCCTGGTTCCACCCTTTCATGGGAAGGAAGTCCTTCCCCCCAACCTTAGTTTTATTGAGGTACAACTAGTATACAAAAACTGCACACGATTAATATTTACAACTTGATGAGTTCGGCCACATGAATATACTCATGTTATCATCACCACAATCGAGGTATAAACGTTCCATCCTTCCAAAAGCTTCCTCAAGTCCTTTTGTGTGTGTGTCATAAGAACTCATGAGATCGGCCCTCTTATAAACTGTTTCAGTGCACAATACCTTATTGTTAACTTCGGGCACCATGTTGCACAAGAAGATCTTCGGAACTCACTTTTCTCACTTAACCATTACTTTGTACCTTCTGAATAATTCCTCATACCTGACGGTCCCCCATCTTCCAACCCCCACCTTCCACTACTCCCTGATCTCTGATCCTCCCAGCCCAGAGTCGTTGGAGTTTGCTGTCAGGATGCTCTGTACATGAGCGCTTAGGATCTCACGGCCAACCCGCCATGGACCTGGGATGAATTCAGGACTCCTGAC